AAAAAAAAAAAAAAAAAAAAAAACTATACAAACATTTTATATAATCACCAAGTAAACATAGCTTTTACCTTTTAACACCTAATATTGATCAAGTAATATTAGAAGATTTAGAACAAAGATAGGCACAAAAAAATATTGAGACAAATTCCCTTGCACAACAAAAAAAAAAAAAAGAAGAAGAAAATAATAAAATTGAAACAAAAATCTGCAGCAATTGAGAGCTCAATTCAGGCGGCAATTAGCAGTTGCAGTGATACTCGATAGCAAACACCAAATTTGCACACCAAAAAGTAGGTTGTGATATGTCTGTCTGAGTTGCAGATTTGAACTCTAGAAAAATAGCGATATTGATAACTACTCACAACAAAAACATGCCCAATAACAAGCCTTCCTCTGAACTGTCTCCGAATAACTAAACACGAACTTTCATGACCGGTTTAAACCGCCATTTTCATTTCTAACTTAGGATGCGGCTCATAATTCTTCAGCTCAAAATCAGCTGCAACAAATGAATCAATGTCCTTTTTATGCTGGTTGATTGTCAATATCTGTTCAACAAAGGAAGAACATTAAAAACCTCTGCAACATTTTGAAATATTTTTTCAAAAGAAAAATATGCAACACCACTACAAAAATGCTCAGTAAGCTTACGAGTCGTGAAGTGTAAATGTCTTCGAGCAAAATATATAAATGTTTATACTTACTGGGAAAGGTCTTGGTTGTTTCTTCAGTTGCTCCTGCAATGGGCCGATGTGAGTCTTGTAGACATGAGCATCCCCAATCACATGAACAAAATCACCAGGAACGAGACCTGTTTGACAGAAGCAAATCGTAAGCTAGTTGGCCCACATGTCCGATTTTTGCTTTAATTTCAAACCAAATGCATACCACAAACATGAGCAATCATGCATGTTAGAAGCGCATAAGATGCAATGTTAAACGGCACCCCAAGACCCATATCGGCCGACCGTTGGTACATCTGGCAGGATAGCTCACCATTGGCTACATAAAACTGCAAAAAAAGTTGGTCGAGAAAATCAAGCACCATAGAAAGGTGTAATTTATTTGGGTTCTTTAGGGAAAAAGGGTGAAAATGGTTTCCAGTTTAACCTGTGCAAACATGTGGCAAGGTGGTAAGGCCATCAAATTAAGATCTGAAGGGTTCCAGGCAGAGAGTATAATCCGCCTGTCATCAGGTTTATTTCTAATCTTGTTGATAACATCCAGCAACTGATCAAACCCTTGTCCTGCATAGTCGGCATGCATATTGGTGTATCTGTAAAAAAGAGTCCTGAAATTAAACTTTTGGGAGTAAATAATTTGGATAGTTCAGTTATACTCGAGTATCCATAGCTAACCTGGCACCAAAATGTCTCCATTGAAATCCATATACTGGACCCAAATCACCCTCTTCCCTTTCCGTCAATCCAATACTGGAAAAAAATAGAAAGAATGAAATTTTGAAACAATTTTCATCAAACTAAGCTGACACAGTACAAACTAAATTTCCAGAGTTTTTGTAATTGCCTGTCAAGGAATTCTCTGGATGCATTGCCGTCCCATATATGTACCCCTTTTTCCTGTAGAACCTGTACCCAATGCATTCCATTAACATTAACATTTCTGATATTTTATTCAAATTATAAAAAAGCCAAATATACATGTAAAAGAAATAATGTGAATATCAACAGAGTAAGTTGGGGAAGAAACTAGAAATACAGATCCGCGTGATTATTGACTTAAATGCATCAAGACATACAGACGAAACAAATATGTGGCTTAACTTTGGGATAAAAAAGACGAGGAACATTTTCTAAATAAATTTTTAATTAATTATATCTTTACTATATACAACCTTTAAGTGTCTCCACTCCACCAATTGTACGAATAATCGGTGTATACTCAAGGGGTACATAAAATGACTGAGAATCACCTTAGCATTTGTTGAACCACTGATGAACCACAAAAGCTCTTCAACAACTCCACGCCAGAAAACCCTCTTTGGATCAAACATATTCCACACAGCAAGCAGGCGTGAGATATGTTAGCTTTCACTTTCCAGTAGATGTAACCCGACTATATATCAGCTAGAAGATAGCATAAAACTTTTTATTTTGTAGTACATGTGCAATCTTTGTTGAGTGTATAAACAAATAAAATTTGTAGATTAGAAAAGCTGCATACTGTCAAGTAAATCTCAGATAAACTTATAAGGAGCTTCCAATAGGAACAATTGTTGCTTATAAGTCAATTTTAATCCATAAACTTGAAAAAAAGCTAATACCTTGGTGGTCAAAAGAGGGAAAGATTTACGCAGGTTAAAGCGCATCTGCAATGTGTACAACACAAATATCAGAAGGGAGACAACAAGCATATCATCATAAGCAATACTCTGAAAATTATGCCACCAAGTTTAATAACATACCTGGCAACCAAATTTGGAAAGAGTCCCAGTTCCAGTTCTGTCACCTTTGGTGTTTCCATTTAAAATAATATCTTCGATTAGTCTCAAGTACAAATATTCTTCATGCTTCTCGAAAATAAATTTGGGCAAGAAAGTGAAATTCGAGAGTTTTAATTTTTTGGAAGGTGGTGCACGAACGTCACAGTTTATTTCACAGCCAGAATTAGTATGCAACCGCACGTATGTTGCAAAGCAATATGGGATACCATTTTCCTCAAGAGGGGAGGTTGAGTACCATGGATGATAAAGTGAAGTAGCAATTGGAGGAATAAAGGTGTCACAATTAATGCTACTCTTGATTTCAGTTATGTGGATGGCATCACATTCAGGCGCGTTAAGTGCTTCCCTGCATCCACACGCTTATTAGCATTTGTTTCTCCATAGCACATAGCAGACATACCAAAGAAATGCGATAAAATGGATGTTTGACCAAATTACCCAAATGTGTACCAAAGAAATAATAATAATAATAATAATAATAATAATAAAAAAAAACTAACTTCAAAGATTATGAATACTGCCCATGAAATCATTAGAGGAGCTAACAGAATTGCTGATATTAACAATAATTTTATAATTACATCCAACAACTTTTCAAAATATAACAACCCCAGTTTCATCTTACATCTTTAAGTTCACATTTCTCGAATTTTCCGAACACAACAAATAGACAGGGAAGACATTAGGGATATTAGTAATAGTTTGAAAAACTGAAGGGTGGCACTGTTAGAT